TTTTTTTTTTTTTTTAAAAACATTGCCCCACACTAGGATTTTCTCCTGTGTCGTGGGTGCGTTTACAAACATACAAGTTCACATACACATGACACCCAGACCCGGAACAACAATCTGTGGATCACACAAAGAATTGTTCCGTGCGGGAATCGAACCCGCGACACGTTGCGCGGCGGCCAGTTGCCCAGCCAACGCGCCAACCGTGCAGTCAAAGTTACATTGTACAGTGGCATTAAGTGCCGTAATGTGCACCTCTGCCTACCCCTTCGGGGATAAAAGACGTGATGTTATGTATGTATGTATGACATTAAGTGCCGTAATGTGCATCTCTGCCTAGTGCCTACCCCTTCTGGGATAAAAGGCGTGATGTTATCTTGTATGTTGTTGAATTTACATTGTTGATCATGTTTTGTTACAGAAAAGCTATGGCCTCTAACATCAGACAGTACAGTGGTGATGGGATGGTTTTGTGTAATAAAAGCCATCTTCCAAATCAACGATATTACGAAGTTCTCCGAAAACGATTTGTTTGGCGTTCGAGATTATTTAGAGGTAATTATTTATGTATAGATATAATAGTAAGCGGATGAAGAATTATTGCGATTTTCCATTTCGATACTTCAAGTAATTTCGTAGTTTTTGACATGGGAACGAACTCTCTGCCTACATTCGTGTCATCATCATCATCATCATCCACAGCCTATAAATATTAAGTGCCAACTACTGAGCAAAGCTTCTTCTCACACGGAGAAGGATTGAACACTAACCACTACGCTTGCTTAGTGATTTCAAACTTATATTTAGAAATTATAAGTCCAGGTTTCCTCACGACGTTTTTCTTCACCTAAGTCAGTGGTGTCTAAACTCGGAAAAATCACATTGGTACTTCTTCTTTTGAACCCACAACCATTAGAAGCGGGCGTCTCACCCTCCGAGACACCACGACATTCGTGTCTGAAAGAATCATTAAATGGTCTTCAATGGGGTTGGTTAGCTCTTAAAACTTACGGAACAAAAGCTGCATATTAAGTACTCTGAGAGCACCAGCACGGCCAAAGAACCAGCCTGAAACAACGCTTACGTTGCGTTTCGTCGTGTGAGTGAGCTTATCGGACGCTCAAATCAATCCACCCCCCAAATCCCCTCAAACCCCCCCAGCCCCCCTCTTCAATCCTCTAATCCCTAACCCCCAAAAGGTCAGCGACACTTATAACTCCTCAAGTAATGCAGGTGTCCTTATTCGGTGGTGATTGGTTACCATAATCTGACCCGTCTGCTCGTTTGCACCCCTATACTTACCATTTAAAAATACCTTATTGAAAATATGTATTTCAGCTTTACTACATCTGCATACACTACATAGAACATGCGAAGGAGCATAACGTTCAGAATGCAGTGATGGAGTGTTTCACTGTACTATTGTCTCTGGCATCCGGACAATACAAGGTGGCGTTGCTTGATAGACATCCGAGACACGTGTCCTTAGATAATACACACAGTGAGAAGGGACATAGGAGGAATATTAGTAAGTTTTTTTGTACGCTGAATATAATTTTTCAAACTACCTTGTTGGCCGGCTAAAGTATTTAGAAAATAGTTTTTTTATATGCTAAATGTTGCCATCATTCTGTTTTACTTAATTCCATTCTATTCTGTTTCATTTCATTCTATTCTGTTGCATTTCATTCTATTCCGTTTCTTTTCATTGTTTTCCATTTCATTCTGTTTCGTTTCAGTACATCACGTTACGTTTACGTTCCGCTTCATTACATTCCATTCCATTCCATTAAAGTACTAATGTTTGTTTTTAAAAACGTTGCCCCACACTAGGATTTTCTCCTTTGTCGTGGGTGCGTTAACAAACATACAAGTTCACATACACATGACACCTAGACCCGGAACAACAATCTGTGGTCCACACAAAGAGTTGTTCCGTGCGGGAATCGAACCGGCGACACATTGTACAGCAGCCGGTTGCCCAGCCACCGTGCTAACCGTGCAGTCATCACCGTGCACTAATTATTGATATTAAAACATCCTTACTATTATAAATGGGAAAGTGAGTTTGTTTGTTTGTTTGTTTGTTCCGACTTCACGACGTAACTACTAAACCGATTGCATTGAATTTTTGCAGACGTAAAGTTAGTAGTCTGGATTAAATAATAGGGTACTTTTTATCCCGAAAAAATTTGATATTCCCGAGGGAAAACAAAAGTATTGGTATAGATGGCGCTGTATGTATTGGTATATGTCACATAGACTACTTTTTATCCTTTTGTGACGCGAGCGAACCCGCGGGTAAAAGCTAGCCTTAATTCCTTACTATCCTTACTTCTTTACTATTATAAATGGGAAAGTGAGTTTGTTTGTTTGTTTGTTTGTTTGTTTGTTTGTTCCGACTTCACGCCGTAACTACTAAACCGATTGCATTGAATTTTTGCAGACGTAAAGTTAGTAGTCTGGATTAAATAATAGGGTACTTTTTATCCCGAAAAAAAAATGTTATTCCCGAGGGAAAACAAAAGTATTGGTATAGATGGCGCTGTATGTATTGGTATATGTCACATAGACTACTTTTTATCCTTTTGTGACGCGAGCGAACCCGCGGGTAAAAGCTAGTTCTAAATAAACAAATCCTTACAAATCATGGTGAAGTGGTGATTTGGTTCCTGGCGACAGTAGGTATATCTAAAAAAGAAATAAAATCAGATTAAATAATTATTTGAAAACTTGCTCTTTATAATTTAAAGAAATTAAAGCTTCACACCAAACATCCAATTTTCAACTTTATTGTTTTGTATTAAAGTCGAAAATTCCTAAATTGCAGGTACATCAAGTATAATATCATCACGATATGCCCCAAGTCCTCAGGCGGAATTAAGGGATCCCTTGGAGTTATCCTTCTCTGGTGCTTTGCAACTTGGCAGTCTATTGCAGTTCAATACACCAAGCTTAAGTGTTGAGGATTTAACTATACAGGTGAGTTATGCAATTCAGAAAAAAGTTTGTTACATTTTTCGAATAAAAAAAAGAGGGGGCTGTATTCGTTTTTTAAACGTAGTTTATGAAAGAAATATTTTTATTACTTTATAGTCACGTATAAAAAGAAACTCTTGTAGGATTGTGTCATGGTCTCTGAAAACTGTATCAATAAATGTTAATATATTGTTGAAATTATATAGGCGATACACTGACACTGAAATTGTATCTTAATTGTCTTGTGTTTAAGTTCCACATTTCTAACTCACCGTAACATCTAATCCTAAGTGCACAAATCTGTATACAAGTCCACTATACACGCGGGCCTGCTGACGGCGAGCATGGGTGACTCCCCGTCCGACCAGAACCAGACCCGAGCGTACGGCGCGTCGCGTTCCGCGCGCTTCAAAGAGTCATCAGACCACCACGGAGGGGGCGCAATAGGGCTGATGCCGATACGGAGCCGCGTAGAACTTAATGGGTTACCGGGGTTCCGGCTCGAAGTATAGGAGTAGGAACGTGGTGGTTTTTACTCAGTAAGAGTCTGACACTGCCTCCCGCCTCATCCAGGCGGGAGAAGTCATTTTCCCTTAAAAAAAGACGTCCACTATACACACATTGGTTTCTTCCAGACGCCTGATTCACCAGCGAGTGACCAGGAAATGGAATTACCTAATTCAGAACAGCTATCTAAAGATTTAACTCATAAACTACAAGAAATCGAGGAGACGGAAACAAAGGAATGTGATCAAATTGATCATGGACCAACTGTATTGGATGGAGCGATGAAGGTTAATCATTCGTTCGTTCGTTCATTCATTCATTCAGTGATTCCTTCATTCACCGCTTTCAATCACTTTTGGTTTTATTTAGCTTAAGCACTGCTTCGTCCTAAAATAGTTATAAGCTCGCTACTGTTCTATATAAAGACAATACCTGTTGGTTAAATAAACTGGCAGGTTTTATAAAGATCTAACTTAACCCAAGCAATTGAAATGGATTCCTTCATTCGCTTACTCATTCACTATTTCATTCACTCATTCATTCATCGCTTCTCTCATTCTCTACTTTAGTAAAACTAACGCCTGAATACTGAAAGGTTACTCAATTTTGAGTTGTTCTCAAATGACGTGCCGTTTCAGTCATTTTATAAAGAATTTGTAATGACTTGACTGAATTGA